TACAACGTATTTGAGCCCGTTTGGGTGCCCTTGAGCGTTAGGAGAGAAGGTGTCATGTGGGCGCGGCGTCCATATCAAACTGCTTCAAAGCATGAGGCACCCATTGACTGAGCTTTCGCATCTTGCCGATTAACTTCAAACCACGAATAACTGTAGACTGACCGACCCCAAGAGTGACTGCTAGTTAAGAGTAGTTGGATGCGACTCGGCTTCCTCCTGGCTCCGTAGCGCGTCCAAACCCAGCTCCATTGGGTGTCCCGGACGGTCTACAAGTTTGATGGAATAGTCGCCCGACGTGAACTTCGAGTGCCACTTGTAAAATGTGCATCTAGCAGTAGCAACCTTCCTGTAAACTTCCTTCATACGTCTATTGATCTCCGCGGGTTCTTGGCCAGATAAAAAAAGAAATAGGATGGTGTTGCGGAGGTGGAACTGCATCGGCTCAAAATCATGGACATTGTTGCAGGAAAGGAAACAGTTAGGTGTGTTCAGTGAGCATTCGGAAGAGCTTTCTACACTCCATCTAACGATGCCTTGCTCGTCCATTTTCTTTGTCTCTTTCCCGAGTATGATCTCTAGAAGTCATCACTATCACATTGTCCGAGTACTTATGACTCAACCTAATAAAAATGAAGTGGGGAATAAAGGGGCCGTATATGGTAGGTGACAAGGGTTAATAACAAGTGATAAGGACTGTCAAAAGACATGAAAGGCAAGAGTTGGCTTTCATGCTCTCCGTGTCAACGGTAGAACCTTGAAACTTTGGTGGGTGATGTGGAATGGAGCAGGGATCGTGGATGCTTGCTGACAGGGGTTAAAAAGAATGGATAAAGGTGGATAAGGAGCCGTAAAAGATATGTGACGTTGAGTCCATACGTTCTTAGGGGCAATAGTGGAAACGACACATTGATAGATGTTTTGGGTGTAAAGTGACCGAGGAAGCTTGGTGACAAGGGTTGACCACAAGTGATAATGACTGATAAAGAGTCATGGAGGACACGAGTTACTTAGCCTCCGACGCTCTTCGTGTTGACAGTTTAAACTTGTCGCTTTGATGGGTGATGTGAGATGTGACGGGATCGTAAGTACTTCTTGACAGGAACTAATAACAGATGATGATGGCTAATAATTGCCATTGTTGAATCACTTCCTCGTTTCGCTTTCCAGCAGAGCTACGTTGGGATTTATAAAGATTACAGATGACGGATCACAGAAAATGATAACTGCAAATAAAGGCTGACAAGAGATCTTAGAATCTTTTCAATTCTTTATTCCTTTGATATATAAGATGGAACCTTGTCATTTTGTAGGATGTTTCAGTGATTGTTCAACAAAATTTGTCTAACAAAGTCATCAACATATGAAGATAATGAAGTTCGGTTTGTGCTGTTAAACTATGGGGGCTACGCCTTAAGGCGTGTGACTCTTCTATGGACCACCAATTTTCTTTATCTCGAAATCAGCTGCCGCAAAGTCTTTTCAACCGTTCATAATCTAGAATGTCGGCCCAGTAATTTATACACAAGATGACAAGAAGGCTAATAATATGGGCTTCTGATGGTGGTGGTATAGGTACAACACTCAGTATCATTCAAGAATTCGAGTGCAAGCTAGTTACATATCTAGGGAAATGTGGATGGGCTAGTGGACCCAACAAGGGGGGAATCATATTCTTAATGGATGTTCATTGTTAAGATCAACGGCAACAGAAATCTAAAAAGCGTAAGCGTTAACTGTGCTTTCACGACTTTATTGGGCCCACCTAATTGGTGGTAGCCCCCTTCAGAAATTCTTGAGGTCAGAGGTGAACAGTTTGTTCCATGGACAGGAATGGAGGGTCAACCGTGCATGTCAACACTGTAACAGGAAGGAGAAGAGTCCGGCGTAGCCGGGTCACGCGGCTTGTAGAAAATAAAAGGAAAAGTTGGTAAAAGCAGTTAAGATCAAAATAATTGGTTTGTTCAGAATATTCTGAACATAGTCTGGGGCTCATGTTTGGCGGTGAACAGGGAATCAGAGGACTTAAATCCCAGCACATTCAATGGCGCATCAAGCTCTCCTATCGAATGATAAACATGGTTAAGCGCTTTATATTGTAGTTACAACAATCAATTTCGGAACAGCTCATTTAAAAATTCTTCGAAATTGGGACTAATTAGAGATAAATAATGCAAAAAATCGACTACGGTAAACTTTCCCTCAATCTTGGCATAAGCTTTGATTCGGATATGCGCTGGCTTAACCTTCAGAAGATTTCAATCCTAATTCAGCTAATAGTCAGGAAAAAGTTGAGGTTCGATCCCCACTTAAGCCTAGCCTAAACTCAAGACACTTCTCTAAACCAGTAGATACCTTTCTTCTCCCCTTCATCGATCTCAATTAGTTTCTTGACTTTCAGGTTCTGACGAAGACGAGGTGGCTCAAAACGTTTGCTCACTAAAGCTAAATCTTTGGATAGTCTGAAAATAGAAAATAAAAAAAATGAAAAAAAATAATGAAAATAAGTAACCGTCATGAAATTGGGGGTAACGTCAGGAAGAACTCTAAGAAGGATCCGGCCACTCCCTAACGACCTGAAGCTCACGACCAAGCCAGGCCATCGTTTAGGACAAAGATATATATAATCAGAGCAGAAAACAGAGCAAAGTTGCCGCTTATCACCTAGAAGGTAAATCTCTTTGCTTGTAAAAGATGGAATTCCTTGCTTGTAAACCGCACCGTTCAGTAAGGACCTACCTTTGACCACACACTTTCACACCCTCCGCCTACATCCTACTCCGAATTTCGTGGATGAGCAACGACTTTTGGAGGGATAAGAGGATGAGTAAGCATGAATCAGATGCCTAAAAACCAAAATGAACATCGATATAGGATATAGGATTGGACTTTTGGCTCAATTGATGACTAACTGAGAGTTTCTTCGAGATCCAAATAAAATTTCCCGTCGTGATATAAAGACTAAGAAAAAATTCTTTAAAATTTGGATCAAAATGGGAACCAGGAACTGGACGTCATTGGTTCCCTACGGTACCCTCAAAAGTCAAGGTCTAAAAAGGCAGCCGTTTCTAGGAAATTTGAACGAAAAAGATTTTGTCGGACTCCTTTGACCGTATCCAAGACTAGGATGACGAAATGACTGCTGGCGAGCTTCTTGCGAACCTTTTCCCAGCTGTCATAATTCTTGCGAAATTTGAGGTTTTTGAAATCTTTATTACCTATCTTTTCTTCAACTTTACTTTACCTTTCACTGGCGGAAAGGGTTTAATTTTCAACTTCTGATTGTTTTGCTAAATAGTTGTTCAGAAGAGAAACCCAGGCAAAATTACCTGTAAGAGTAACGGAGGGCCTCTGACTTGCACAGTCTTCGGACCGAATTCCATAGGGATGCTTCCCACCTCTGAGATGTCAGTTCCTTCCTGATGCCGAATATAGAGGTACAGAGTAGAGTTGGCAAATATTTCACACCACCTGGAATGGATGCTCAGCCGACCGAAAGCTGGGTCGCTGATGATCTGGGCCGAACACTGGCAAGATGGTCTGGTTCGAACACCTTTGCTTTAACCTTTTTTTGTTTCTGGATGCCTTTCGATTTGAGTCATACACCCTTGTAACTGATAAGCAAGCCTACATCAGGTGGCAGATCTTTCCAGAAAGTAGATAGATGGATAACCATATAGCAACCAAACTTCCTTTATCTGTGGAGTGAAATCAACTCCGGAATCATTGAGATCAACTCCAGATGCGAGTTCGTGGCGAGGGAACTATGTAGCCCCGATGGGGTTCGCCTCATTGCCATTATAACGAGGCATAGCAATGGGAGATCCCCCGTATCTATTTGCATATCTGAAAGTTCATGCGTGCCCATTGAGTCTAGGTGTTGTGTAACAGTAGGTGCCGACGTGGACGCGTAGGCCTGAGGAGGAAGGGAGGGGTAGGGGTAGGGAGGGGCGATAGTGAGGAGGTCGCCAACCAGCAATCCCCCCTTCATCTCCATTCGCCTCTTTGCGACTCGGCTGGGCCGGCGCCGAAGCAAGCAAAGATTGCTAGTTTCACGACGAACGCTTCTCGACCGACTCGTTGAAAATCAGCTGACAGTGTTCTCGCCTTCTCTGGAACCGTCGTCAGCTGAGCAGCGTATACAGACGCAGTTCAGCGCCATAGGACGAAATCGCGATGGCGAGTCGTCGCCAAAGACAATTCGACCGCAAATACAGCTCATACAGGTGAATCAGCGATTATTATTTACATCTTTATCTTGTCATCAAAGTTCTTCCATGTGACGGGCCGTTAAAATCCTGCACCTCAGCGCTGTGAACGTTTTTCTGTGGCCAGTTGTAATGTCAGTGAGACAAGCGCTGTTCTCATGATTGGTGAAGTCTACAGCTCCTATCTAAAACTTTAGATTGATGGTCAAGCTCAACCCTGCAGAACTTTCAGCTCAATCAATGAAACCGATCCCTACAGTGGATTTGAACTTCTAGGCCTTCCTGGAGTGTCTAGGAGGTGTTGTCTGCCGTTTGGCCAGACGGCGATCGCTCCCAGGTTCCTACTGGGAGCAAAAAGGGGCTGCCTCCTGGAACAATTTTTTTTTGTTACATATTTCTTTTCGTGTCTGTGCCGCCGCACAGGTGTCCAGTTGTGGATTTGTTTGCAATCCGCTCTCTCAACGCCCACGAAGTCCTCAAGGAACAGCGCGAAAATTGATGCGCACACACAAATCCAGGAAATCACATATTATCGCTCCCGATAATCGATTACCGTGAAAAAAAAGATCTTTTTTTTGGGGGGAAGGGCTTACCCAGATGGGTTCTCCGGCTATGTTCACCAAAGTCTCCGTAAGGTCTACTTCTAGCTAACTCTAGCTCAGGGAGATGCCCATACCCTGGCTCCCTGACTATGTCATACTGGCAACAGAAATTTTCCCTCATAGGAGAGTCATAATCAGTTTTGGTTCGGGAAATCACAGTCTTGGCTGCTTGGAAGATCGTCAAAGGTTGTAGATGGCTCCAGAACCCCAACTTCCCACAGGAGTGTATCCCTCTCATCGGGCTCCGGTGAAGCCCTTGGTGCTTTTTGCCCATTCCTACAAAACCGATCAGAACGAACGCTTCAGGTTTCTCAGCTGGCAAGCTCTGGCTGGCATTACACTACTGGTTTAAAACATAAAACAGCTTAAGAGAAACTTCTGAAAACCAAAGCAATTGAGAGCAGATGATTCATCCTAAAATCCAGATTATTGTTAATCGATTTTAGAAAATATACCGCAAGCGAGGATGTGAACTATAGTGCTCATTCGTCTCGATCGAGTTTTCGATCCGAGTCGATGACATCACGAAGTGACCAACGAGGACGTTCTGTGAGCTCGGAAATCATCACGGTACTACTTACAGCCTAGTTCAATCAGAAATTCAATTTTGGCAAAATTTCAAGGGATTCAATCAGTATAGAAATCAATATTTCCACCATATTCACAATCAATGTGTATGTGGTTTGATTGGAGCGCTATTCAGGGCTCGGATACTCGTTCGTATCCTGTTTACATCGCAATCCAAGACTATCAACCAGAAGCTACTGATGTCGAAGGTATTCCCCTTGAACAGGGCCAGATTGTCGAAGTTCTAGACAAGAAGAATCCAGCCAGTTGGCTAGTGCGAACTAAGGTCGGTTTGATGCCAGCATCAGTTATTTTGCTTTAGAAAACTCCCAAGATAGATGGAATAGTTCCCGAATACCATCAGATGAATAGTGGCTATAAGGACCAGAAAGACCCGCTCAGGAAAATCCCAGATCTTTTTGGAAGAGTTTCGCTAAATCACAACATCACATAGCCAACCTTTCATTGGACTACCAAATCCCTTCACTCCACTCCCACTTCCGAGGAAAGTCATGAAATGCTCTGTATTATCTTTTCTGGTGGTATCCAGTGAGCAGAATGCCCTGGGATCGTCCTTCCTGTTTTTGTTTACCTCATTGTCCGATTTCAAGACATGATTTATAGGCGGTGTAAAGTAATATAAGCCAAGAATAAGAAATACTCGAGGTAAAATACGTAAGAATGAATTGTAGAGTTGGTCATGGACTATACAAGTACAGTTAGGGAAGAAACCTGTGCTATTTCCAGGCACGACCACCCAAATCAGGATGGATCCCTGGATCGTACTTCGAGACTCCGACAGAATACTACAAACAACGCAGAAGAACTCGTGAACTTGAATCCACATCGACAACAATGACTGAAGATCAAGAAGCACTTCTCAAGCGAGAGTAAGTTACCATCACATGGCATTTATTGCGGGCATTAAATTCAAGGGCAAAGCCTGAAGTTCAGTTTCATCTGTAGCTCCTAAAATCTATGCTGATCGTAAAAATTTTTATTGATATATAAGGTTTTAGTATTTTCGTGATAGCGAATGATATTGCTCTATCAATCCCTTCTTTTGAAGCCTTTGGAAGATCTTTCTTTCCAAAAAATTATTCCGGCTAACTTCTCTTTCTATCGACCCAGGCAAGTTTATTGGGAGCCATATCTCCTACACATCTGACTTCTGTTATTTAAAGAGTAGAGAGCCGATCACCCATCATTAATTTTTGTTTACATTAGGTTGGACATTCTGAAAAAGCGTAATATTATCTTATTGCAATTTTATCTACCTTCAAAGGGAATAACTCATGAAGCTCAGGGAGGTCTCCCTCTCCACTCGATCAAATGATGAAATGAAGTGAGAATTCCTGATTTTTTTTCTCTGAAAAAGATTCGACACCCAATGCTGCGGGTCACCCGCACTTAACGAACGGGCCTCCGAAAATGTGTGCGCTCCAGATGTGCTCAGTCATCACTATTGTCACAGCGGTCCTATGACCAGACGTTCGCGTGGGATTTCCATCATCCCACCGCTTCAGTTGCTAGATGGCGTGGTAAGCCTGAGCTCTATTATGGGAAGAACAGGGAGAAAAACAAAATCCAAAAGTCTTTTGACATTATTCAGCCTCTTATTAGATTACGCCCCCATTCAGCTTCCATGTAAGACCGCAGTGGCATTTTGAATGCGAATGTGACCCATACAATGGGTTGAGTGGTCAGACGATGCACAATTCAAGGCCTTTATCCTCCCAGACGAGTCCAGTACGGACTGACCCAGGGCCAAGGGCCACAGAAGTCGGTGACAAAACATATTCATTTTCGAAATTCCATGCCATCCCTCCGGGGTCTACTAGTCAGAGAGCAACAGAGCTGCCACTTCACCCACTTTTACTCATACCTAATTAAAGATGAAAATGGGCAGTAGTTAGGTATATCCGCTCACTCCCTGAGGCTTTTGAACATCGGAAGCCAACAGTTTCTATCATAGTATTGGTTGCTTTATGTTTGCTGGATCCCTCAAGTTTCTTCCGCTTCTTGCTCTTCGCCCTGATACTTCACTATCGTTTGGATCAAGCCGGTTTTCGCAGATCGAATCGATGGTTTGCTCTCTTGAGTACTCGTTCGGAGTCATCAATATCATGAAAGTGTTCCACCCACGTGGCTTCTGGTTCTACCCCCCTTAAGACGAAAATTCCCCACTTTTAGATATATTGTTCCTTCAGTCAGAATCAAAAAATGACTTGATTATGGTGTTTGGTTGTAAAGACCTCCACGATTACAAAGAAAAAGGGCTTCAGTGACTTCATCGTAAAAATCCCAATGGTGAAACTTTATAAAAGTCTCTTTTCGAGGTAGGTGCTGCATCCTCAAAGTACGTTTGTTTGGGCAATTATCATTTCTTCGATGAGCGTTTACTTCAATGACTTTTTTTCTGGAGCTGTAATGGTGTTAGGATCTCGATCACCCCTGGAAAACATCCGAGTCCACCCACCACAGTCTAAGCAGGCTGACCAAAAATACGTTTTCTAAGATTTATTCTTCGAGCAAGCGTCAATATGCCTGCTTATTGACCAATCCCACAAGGAATTACACTAAAACGTTGGACGAGTTTCCATGATGAGCCAAGATTTCCCCGACCGTATCACTGTTTGACGCTGAGACACCCAGATTGGGTGTGACTAGATGACTAGACCCTGCTGATCTTTTGGTCCTTAGAGCTCCCACATAGCACTCTCATTCAGTTGCAACGGCGTAACCCAAGCCGGATGTTGCACGGCCCTACAAACGGGACAGTTGTTGGGTCGAAATCAGCAGTGAATCAACGTGCCCGAAACTTTCATGAAGACTGGTTTTGTTCTAGAAAAGTAAATACAAGTTTTGACCCTTAATCTCTCTCTCGAGCGCTTTTTTCGTGAACAAGGTGGCAGCTTTTTTTGATTTTGGAAATTTTAATTTTTTTTTTGGATTTCGATTCGTCATTTTATCGATTTATTGGAAGAGGTACACAAGAGCTAATGTTTCCACCCCCGTGTTGATACGAATTGACAAAAATATCTACACCTTCCTGCTCGTAGGAGAAATAGCTGATCAACTGTTGTTGCTTAGTCAATGCTTTGGAATTCTGAAGACGTCATCTGTCCAGTCACGTCGTCATCGGACGACCGTAAAACATCGGCTGTACTAGTCTGAGAGTTGTTGAATGTGGTGTAAACGAAAACCACGCAACGTTTCTCGGACAGGATTGATCGAAAGCTTGCAGACACATTTTCTGCTGTACAGCAAAGCATTCATTTTTAGAAAAATATCCTTTCAGCAGGAAGGGAGAACTGGGAAAATACTACCCCGATAATACCCCGCTGTTTTTCGCTCTTTTCGAAAGGTAACCTTAATGTATGCATGCAGGTGGTTATCACAGTAAGCCGAAAGGGCAGCCATTGGTCTCTGGTC